TTTTCCCATCTCCTCCTTTGCCTTCAACGAGAGTCTTTGGGTTAGCACAATTGAGCTGGATTTACGACTCCGAGTGGGTAATTACACCCACCATAAATTTTATAGCCAAGCTAGTCTGGGCAGCCCCAGCCATGTGGTTCGTTCTGTTATGTATGTGTGAAACTCCAAAAGGCTTCGCGAGGGGTGCATAAATAATTCAGGCTCTTTTCAAGCCAGGGAAACCCCTTCTTATTAGAAGAGAAAGTCTTGGGTTCTTTATAACCCATTTAGCTGATGACTTTTCTCTCTCTCTCTCCCCTCTCTCCTCTCCCCCCCTTTCTCTCGCTCTCTCCCCCTCTCTCTTTCCCCTGAGCCACTGGAGATCTGTCTTTCTCTCCCTGTGCATCTCTCTCTCCGCTCTCCTTCCCCTGCCTTTCTCTCTGTCTCTGTATTCATGCTCATCTTTGGGTGTTTTTTCCCCCCAGTGAACCCCAATTACAATGGAGGCGAGCCCAAGCGATCCAGGACTGCCTACACGAGACAGCAGGTCTTGGAATTGGAAAAAGAGTTCCACTATAATAGATACCTGACGAGGCGGAGGCGCATCGAAATCGCCCACTCCCTGTGTCTCTCGGAGAGACAGATCAAGATTTGGTTTCAGAACAGGCGGATGAAATGGAAAAAAGACCACAGGCTGCCCAATACCAAAGTGAGATCTACGGCTCCTACCAATTCTTCCACCAGTTCCATCCCTGCTTCTTCCAACGCGGTTGCTAGCGAAGAACATTCGCAAAGCTCATCTCAGGACCAACGAGCAGAGGATATTACAAGGTTATAAACAAACAAACAAACAAAGCAAAAGCAAAAGCAAAACAAACAAACAAATACCCCCATTAAAAAATGACTCTGATTATTTATAGAATCTAATATATATCTATATATTTTGGTTCTTTTTTTTCCTCGTAGTTTTTCCCGTGCTTAAATATATTAAGAAGGAAAAAAAGAGAGAGGGGGAAAAAAAGCCCCACACACAAAAGAATGAGGTCTTCCGCAAAGATCTCAAGCTTTAGGTGCATGTCTTATTAGCATGAGAGGTCAGGTGAAATACCTGCTGGTTTTGTTTTGTTTTTTTAAAACGCAATTTTCAGGGTTTTATTTATTTTTTAAAAAGGGAAGGAGTGGAAGGATGAGCTATGTGTGTCTGTGTGTGTCTGTGTGTCTCTGTGCGTGTATGTTGGGGTGGGGAACACAATGTTCTGTTTTAGATGAAAAATCGGGGCATATGCTAATAATTACACAGGCAAGGGAAGAATGTAGTTATTTTGCTCTGTGCGTTTACAAATGGAGAACAAAAAAAAATGGACCATTGAAGGCTTTTTTCCTTCCTTTTTTTGGTATAAATGTAGGAGAAAGATTTTTTTTAATTAAAAAAACAAGGGGGAAAAACAGCACAGGAGCTAATAGTAGCTGGTAAACTTACGGTTTATTTCAATGTGAAGAAGGACTCGAAGGAAGAGAGAGAGGAAGCGAGCCAGCGAGAAAGTTGGAAGGCAAAGTCAGTAGGTAGATTTTTTCCCCCGTTTTGTCGTGGTTCTTTGTGTTTTTTGGACATGATTTGACATGAACATTGTAAACTTGCAATAAAAGAGTTTTAGTGTATATGTGAAAGTCCCCTTGTTCAATAAAAACCAGTGAGTGTGACACAGATTTGACTTTGGAATGTCTGGTGAGTTATTTTCCTTCTTTGCTTCGTACTATATAGGGAAAACGTGGGGGAGGGGGGTGGAAACGTGTGACACTGATTTCATGAGCTGTGGATACTTTCTTAGCTAAGTTTAAGAAGCTTGGGTTGGTTGTTTTTTTGTTCTTTTAAATACAAGGCTACCAGCGCCGTAGTGCATGTCGCTGAAGTCAATGGCAAATCTCCCATTGATTTTAGGGACTGTGGCTTGCACCCTCTGTACCCTGTGACATCACAGCATGTTTGACCTCAGATTCTACTAGGAAGTCCTAGCCTTGTGAGGTGTAAATATGCATATTAGTAGAAGACCTGTCCATAGAAATCAGGCTTTGTGTTGCTGTTGTTTATTTTTTTAAAATGCATCTGTCCTTTCCTGTATTTGAGCTCCTATCCATTTCTTGAGTAACAGTAATAATAATAAAAATATTGGAGCTTTCTTTACCCCTCCTTCTACTGCCTGTATAGCTAACAAGCCCCTAGTCCTGTACGTTGAATAAATGCTTAACATTGTCACTGTTGTAGGTATTTTGTAGAGATGGATAATAGAGAATTCAGGATTTGTTTACATCCCCGAGGGAAGTAGAAAGGGTGGCTGGGAAGAGTGTAATGCAGATGTGTTTGCACAGTGAGCACTTTTAGTATGTACTATGCTTATATGTGTGGATAGGTAGATAGACAGACAGCCAGATTAGCAAGTTCCTTTCACAACTCACATTTTTCTACTGTCCTCGCCTCAGAGTGGCAAAACATGTGACTGAAGTGTGCTTTCGTTTATATCTCTCTTAGAGGCTTGTTTAATGCTGTTTGGTTGTATTTCGTAAACATTCCAGCACCCCAAACGAGAAACCAGTTAGTCTGAAGTAGCAGGATCTAGTCCAATTTATTTGCTATTGATTTCAATGAAATTTCAGGCGCCTTTAATAGTCTGCTTACACAGAACTAAGTTGTGGGTTGAGCTGTATTGCATTCCAGTTCCTTGTTATGGGTATCAGAAAACAGCCAGGCAACTATATACTGGAGGTGGAAGCAGAAGTTCTGAAAAGTGGCAGGGGGTTTGAAGGGGAGTTGGTTCCGTCACTTTATCTTGCCCCCTCCCTCAATTATCAAGACAAGCAGATCTTTTCAGCACCCATGGTAGAAGGAAGAGGCAGGAAGGTACGAAGTGATTGACAAGATACAGATTATGGGAGCGATCTACATCTCATTCAAGTTAATGCAGAACTTCTATTGATTTTAAGCAAGCCAGAATTACACATAGTGGCTGTAATCCAGATCAGTTTAGAAGCTAATGGTCAAAGTGTCATGGGTATCAACCAATCAGGATGACTCTTCTCTGCCTGTTAGTAGTATTCCTTTGAAGAAACTCCGTCTCCTTTTGCACAGTATGAAATAAATCCATTCATTAACATAATAGCTAGTCATAAACCTTTAACAGTGTTTTCACGATTCCAGTTTTTCGAAGCAAGCGAGGGGAATGTTGAATGTGCATGTTAGCAATTGAATGTTTCCTTATCACTCCTGGGCCTGCTTGTTCACTCTTACTACATTAGGTCAAGTGAGGGGAAACAGGAATCTCACTCATTTATTTTAGAGAATACCTTTACTGAACGTAGTGGGATTTACTTCTGAGTAAGCATGCATAAGATAGGGCTGCAAGTTAAATCTCTCACGTGTCTGTCCGCTTGTTTATCTGCCTTTCTGTTACACAGACTTAGTCTCCCTACTCTATTGCTAGGGCAAGATAAAAGAGAACAGCAACCAGTGTTTCCCTCGGTGGTTTTTTACACACCCACACAAACACGAGCACTCTGTGCATATAAATGGTAAAGAGAACAAAGGGAGGGGGGAATCCTAACCTAGGAATAATGGTGCTGCCAACTGAATGGCCATATGTTGCAAAGCTGATCTTCAAACTCTGACACACACACACGTGTGAAATTTACAATGGCTTCTACTGGTAGTGACTTGGTAAACTATGTGTGGGTGTGTAGCTGTGCTAAACTTTTTTTTTTTTTTTTTAAGTTTCACACCCACACACCCTGGCTGCAGAACTTGATAAATTATAACCAAGTGTCTGTGAGAGAATCAGGATGAATATGATAGGACTTTGTGTTGCTTGCATTCTCTGTGTCTGCCCAGGAAGCCCGGAAAAGGAGGCATCAATCACATTTGCAACTGTATAGTTTGCATATTCAATTAAAAATGCCAGCACCCTCTCAGTAACTTCATATTTAAATATATGACCATATATTCCTTTCCACGGTTCTCTACCCACCCCCAACTTTATTTTATTTATTTTCCTCCTGGAGTTCTCTTCAGTGTTTACTTTCTGCAAACTTCTCACCCTCCTGTTTTGTTTTCGTTTCTGGTTTAATAATTCTGATTCTTCAGCATCTGATTTGGCCTTTAGACTTGGCCATGACACAATTCTTCCAGGGTAGGGAGATTATGAATGAATTATAAAGGCAGGCAGCAGGGGCAAAAGAAACGGGGGGGAGGTGATGAGATACAGCCTGCCCCACCGTCTCTCTTCACCCATTTTGCTCTTTCTCTCCCTATTCTTTTTTTTAAAGCTTTTTGACGCCTCCATGTTGAGAGCCTGAAAGCTACTTTATTGAAGTTCGGGTAAAGGGGGGTGGTGGAAAGTAGGTTCACCCAGAGGACAACTTTTCTACGCCAGCAGTTTTATTCTAGCCACTCAGGCTGACCTCCGAGCCCCCAGTGACCTGAGTTAAGTCTCCCAACGTGTACCTTCTCTGCTCCCTACACACATTTAAAGGCATCGCCACTGTTTGGACTTTTTGTGGTGGCTTTTTTTTTTTTTTTTAAATTACCATAGTAATAGAAGGCCGGGTGGGTGGGGAGGGCGGCCGGGAGAGAGTGAGGGCTTGGGCAGATTCAATGCGTGTTATCTCATTGTGTTGTCACCAAAATAACCCCAGAGAAAAGAAGGCAGGGTGAAGTTTCGGCCAAGCCTCCCTTCTCATTTTCCCGCCTTCCCATAGCTTGGAAGATTTCCCAGCTGGCTATCCTATGGCTAGAGCGAAGCTCCTAACGCCAAGTAAGTTTCCTTTTAAAGTTTTCCTTTTTCTTTTAAAGCAGTTTAAAAACGCATAGCTATGATGGTGACGATGGTTGCTTCTTTTTTAAAAAATAATAATAATAATTGTCTCCTTTAATGGAAAGGGGTAAAGTGGGGAAATCTGCTAGTCTATTCAGGTGCTACCAGGCGCTTTTGATGGTTTCTGTAGGGACAGGCCAAAAGAGCTACATTTCCTCTGGCACGAAGGAACTAGAAAAGAAAAGTTGTGAGGGATCAGTGTTCTCTGTTGCTGGCTGTTCCACACTGTATGCCTCGACGGATAGAACGGGTGGTGGTGGTAGTAAGCCTATCGTCAGACCAGCAGTAGCATGGTTGGTCTTTCCATGGGTTCCTCTTTCAAACCTGATGGACTTGATGTTCAGTGCTCCTAGGTCTCCTGGGGAGCTCAAGACTCCAGTCTTGGCAGGGCTTTCCAGGAAATCGCTCCCCGCTCCACCGAATGGATGGATCGCCTCTTGATACCAAAGTCTGTGCTCCTTCCTTTCCCCCACTTGGGACATGGCACCAAGGGGCTGGGCTCCTCTACTCCTCTCGAATGGCATCGATTTCACTATTAAATCATGCCCGGATTATTGTTCTTCACTTATCTTCTTGAGCCAAAAGAAGAAGAAGTCAGGCGAAAGGTGAGAATGTTTGTGGAGGGGGGTGTCATAAGCTCCTTGGAGCCTAGAGACTTGCTCGGGAGCGCTCCAGTGAGTCCCTGACGCCCAGTTTGTGTGAAGTCACACTGATTATAAGTTGTATTTCTTCCTTTTTAATGGATGAGTGAGTAAATAAATAAATAAATAAATAAATAAATTTTTGGTGATGGGAAACCAATGCTTCTTCTAGCAGCAAGGAAGCAGCGCTGGAGGAAACACTTCACAGGGGCTTCGGTGGCCATAAAATAATGCGTTAGAAAAATTCTCCCCCCCCCCACCATGGGCAATGGGACTTCCAAGAGGCCAAGGGTGGTGGTGATGGCGGTGGAGACGCTGTGTTCCCCACTCCCTTTTATTTCCAGTGGCTTCAAATATTGTTTGGAGAGGTAATTCTCTGAAAAGGGGTAACTGCAAAAAAACAACAACACCAACCCCTATAAAAAAACTGGATGGGATGTTTTCAACTTAAGACACAATTACATGTGTGCGCTTAAACCCCCCACAAACCCCCTCTCCATTCTCCCTCTCAACAAGCCCCCCCCCGCAGTGCTATAGGATAAGGTACCGTGGCTTAGCTCCCTAAGCTGCCAGTTAGCAAATTATGTCTCAGGATTTTTCCAGTCTCTTATCTTCTCTAGTTTCCCTCTTTTTCTTTCTCTCTCTCTCTCTTGTCTCTCTCCATGCAGTTCATATGAGAGAGAGAGAAATGTTCAAGTACGCTGTTTAATTGTAATTAAAAGACAAACATTCCGCCAGGGTTAAATGAATGAGTTACGGGTTTCTAACCATAACTGCCAGCAACTCCAACATGTAACTTATATTTATTGTGGTCTCGTATATCATTATCCAGAGATATAGTTTTATGTACTTCCTAATCTGTCGCCTTGATTTATTTTGATGGGCAAGGTACCAAACCAAACATTTTGGGACTTTAGTGAAAGACTAGTATTTCCTTGCAAACAGCCAACCACCCTTCTGTTAATGGCATCAGCAATTTCTGGCAAAGGCCACTTTCTTTGTTTTCTTTTTTTCCTTTTTCTATGTTAAAAAAGCGTACTTAACAACCAAGAGCCAAATGTTGATGCAGGTTGGTTTCCTTTGTGGAAAAGCATATGTATTAGCTCTGAGGATTTATGCAAGAATGAGGCTTCAGAAAACAAAGCATGATATTTATTTAGGAGATGCAATACAGACATGCAAAAGGAAGCATTCTCTCTCTCTCTAAACCACTATATTCTCTCTCTCTCTCTCATTCTCTCTCATTCTCTCTCTCTCTCTCTCTCTCTCTCTCTCTCTCTCTCTCTCTCACACACACACACACACTTTCAGTATATATATTTTTTGTGTGTTTGCTTATATATGCTCCACTTTTTTCTCAGCATAGTGAAGTTCCTTTTCAATTTACCCTCCATCTTGTTATTCTGGATTCCCCTGCTTTCACCCTTTAAGAAGGAAGGAAGGAAAACTTGCAGCTTAAATGCCAAAATATACATTTGCTTAGTAGTATTTATCATTCTTTTAAAAATGAGCAAGACCAAATACACCCCCTTGAAGTCAATGGGGAAACTCGCCTTGATTGGTGTGGATTGCACCCACTAATTGAATGATATATCTTCAAAAGCAATGAAACAATATATAATACGGTGCTTATACTGTATAGGTCGCTACAGTGTGCATAGGGCTATATAATGAGACACATACACCTTGAAAGAACCTAGTCCATCAGATGCAGAAAGATGCACGCGCGCGCGCGCACACACGCACACACACATTGTTGGCACTATTAGGCAGGGTAATGGAGAAACACAGTTTATGGCTATCCCAGTTATGTGTACTTGCCTCATGTGAGTGCCTCACAAGACCAGAGTTGTCTGGAGCAGCAGTGGGCATACATAGGTTCCTAAGATCTACTTGGCCTTTTCTGAACTTGATCTCCAAGATCTACCTAGCAGAGCCATGTGCAAAATACACATAGGATTAAAGAACAGGTGTGCCTCTAAACACATTCTGAGTCTAGAAATTGGTTTTCAGCTTCAGAATTCAACTGAAATCATAGTCTTGACACACAAAGGCCTGCTCCTTTCTTCAACCTAATTTAGGTAGCCAAAGTCATTTTGTTGCTACTACTATTAAAATATTGAGAATTAGAAAGCCACACTTAGCTACCCTGCAAATCAGACAAATCTCTACCCTTTGCCCATCCCTGATCTAGAGATCCAGTGGTTCAAACAATAGAACGTTCAGAACCCAAGAGTTGCCTAACAGGGCTGAACCATAATGCATCTAATCCAGAGGCCATTCAGATGCCTCTGGGAAATGTGAAAATTACGTTTGTGAAGGATATTTGGTGTAGGACTATAGCTGAGTGGTAGTGCGCATTCTTTGCAGCCGGAAGTCTACAGGTTCAATCCCTAGCACCTCTAGATAGGGCTGAGAAAGCCCACTGTGTGAATCCCCCAAGGGAGCCACTGCCCATTTGTATGAATAGTATTGATGGTCTGATGGTATAAGGCAGCTTTCTATGTTACTGGCATATTGTATTCAGAGATCTACTGCTCCTGTTCATGGAGTTTCCACATTAGCTACATTGTGACCAATAGCTATTGGGGAATACCCTCCCCATGAATGTATCCTTTTTTTTTTAAGCCCACCTAATCTAGTGGCCCTTCCCCCATTTTACGGAGGCCTGAGTTCCATATTATGTCCTTTTGATTGTCCTGAAGTGACACAAGTCCACTTTTTCTGGGTTCCAATATTATGAGAGAAGGAAAACAATGAAGTCTCTATCCACACTCTTGGCACTGTCCATAAACCTTATAAACCTGTAAAATCATGAAAGGTCCGAATTCCCCATCCCTCTCCTCCCAGAAACAATAAGATACTAAAGGGGTGGGGATGAGCAGAGGAAAAAAACACAAGTTAATGCAACTTGTATGGGTTCTTTTCTATCCCATCCCACATTTGCAGGCCTTCATAAACCAAACCATTGCCTTTACTTGTTAGCACCAGATGAAGAATTCTTCTAAGAGGGAGATAACTCAGAAGAAAAAGAGAGACCAATATAATTATTATTTTGAATTTAGATTCTCCCCCATTTTAAGAACAGTAACACATTATTTTATGAATGTGTTCCTTTTTCTTTGGGGATGCACACACACACACAATATCACAACACCGGCATTTCATGAAATGCCCGTGTTGTGATGACAGCTTAGTATGGACATTTATTCTGGTGCCTCCTGCCAAATCCTCCCAGCCAGCACTTCTCCCTCATGGGAAGATGCCATCTCTTTTATACCTTGCTTATTATAACCGAGTACCCAGAGTTACCCGGCTGGTCGCCGGTGCTAGAGAAGCTAGAATTCTGAGCTTTGATTGAACCCTGTATGTCTGATTCGGTTGCGGGATGGCCATTCTTCTGTTCACCCTTCACAACCCATTTATGGCGAGTTTTTTTCTGGATATTAGCAGACAGATTCCGAAGCAGTACCTACTTCCTATGAGTTTAGGATCCTTGCGCGCCCTCCTTCACCATGATGGGACCAATCGTAAAGGCAGAGTATCCTGTGCATGCTTGATCGGGCTTTGGTGGTCCCCTGCCAGGCTCACATTGACTAGGGAGAGACGCGAAGTGACTGAAGACAAAAGGCATTGCTGAAAACAACCACAGTTAACCTTTGAAACAAGCCTCGCCAAGAGAGTTTTGTAAATAGAGGAGATAAGAAAAGGGCGATTACTAGAATTTTAGATTAAAGGTTTCTTAGTCTGCCAGAGCCAAATATTATACCAGTGAAGAGGGATTCCTAGTTCTCCCAAACCATGGGCAAGGCAAATATCCCCCCCCCCTCTTTCCAGTGTCCTCCGGTGTTTCTTACCTACGTGGGGATGCCGCTACTGACACCACCCGACCCACAGAGCGTTTCCTGGCCTCCATTAGCCCCTCCGCCCGCGGCCTATTTCCGAATGCTAAAGGGTGTCGTGCCCCAAACAAACTAGGCACCCCTAAAAACTACAGTTTTTTCTCTTCCATATAACAATAAGGCAGCCTTCAGGTTCCATAACGTAGCATAATGTTTAGGCTTTAAGATGCATCGTCACAAAGAATTATTTCAACAGTTTTTACACACTTGACCCGAAAGACTGGAAGCATTCGGGCCCAACACAACTTTTGTAGACTCTTTCCTTCTTCTCTCTCGCTCTGAATGTACAATCTGGATTTATTAGCCGCTCCACATACACGGTCGTCTGCTGTATGTGTATGCAAGCGTTTGTGCATGATATACATAAAGAGATATATATATATATTATTGTATGCGTAGAATGTGCATGTCTTCAACTGAAGTAAAACAGAATATTTATGTTTCCAAACGTCGGAATCATTTCGCTTTATGCATGCCTTCGAGAAATGAGCAAGGATTTATAACCGCCGTATATAGTCAGATCTGCCTATTTGTCTGTCTATCCGTCCATCTATGGCCCTTTGCTTAACATGCTTATAAAATGTGCCCATAAAGAGAGACACCTCCTCCTCCACCACCTTTCATCCACCCAGCCAAACCCAGCCAACACTGGCGTTATCATCCGCCCAGAAGGACACAGCAGGCATCCGATCCCGCGGATTGTGCTCTGGCCCTACCAAGGAGCTAGAGGGGAGTTGCTCCCGAGCCTGACTTCCTCCTCAAATCCTCCCGAACGGCACCTCTAATAAATATTTAAAGAAGCCCTCCTAAAATGTTTACTCGCGAGTTTGCCTTTTCTGCTCAAAGCTAGGTCACGACCCCGAATTTGGACAGCAGAACAAAGAGAGGGTTGACGAGGGAACGCGCGTCTTGTTGTTGGGCAGCGACATCATCTCGGGGCGATTGTTTGGAGCAGCAGGTTAATTTACTTGTTTGGCCAAGAACTCTAAAGTCTGGAAGCAGAACTTTTAGCCAGGGTCTGTCGTGATGGAGGGATGCCTGAAAATCCTCCCTTCTTTTGAG